ACCGAAATATTTCGAGAGAGCGGTGACCCCAAGATTGTGGCAGGTATCTTAAATGATGGAAGACAGATGTAAGAATCTTAGATACTGGTTTTTCAGTTGTAGCTGCAGCTTCAACTGGCAATGAAGCTACAATGAATCATTCATGGAATTGAAAATTGATGTGCTAATAGCCCAAATTTTGAAGGAACACGATGGGGGGAGCATTCCAAGCGTATACAATGCAATATGTATCCTCTCAGGTAAGTCAAAAGAATGCATGTTCTTTATGGACTTTAATGGTCACCAATTTAGCTTTGATCCTAATGATTCACGAAAATGTATTTAAGTACTCGGTTTTCTTTCACTTGCTACTACTTTTCTTGGAAAGTGGAAGGGGAGGAATAATTCAAGCAGAAGTGTGGTTATGTTATTGGCTCTGAATCAGGCCTTTTCTGTTACAATTTTGATTTCATTAACAAAAAATTTTACAACTTACTAGACACTAGTTACTATTAAAATTAGGCTGGAGAAATAATCTGGGACTTCTTTGTTGATACATCAGTTCTCCAAATTAAAAGCGGAAAATCTTAAAAATTAAAGCTATAGCTCTTGCTTTAGGTTGTTGAAATGAGAAATTGATCTCTTTTAAACTAGGCAATCAAAGGATATCAACATACCTAAAAATCTTAGATGGTCCTTTAATTCTGAGTTCTCTGTTTCCAGGATGATATTTGCAGATCAGTCGCTAATAATAGGGGTATAGATGCAATTCTTCATTGTATTGACACTGATGCAGAAATAGAAACATCCTTGGCTGTTTCTTCTGTGTGTTCCAAGTGTTAACCCAATTAACAATACAAGAGAAGCCCTCCCCATGAGATTCATATTCATAGATACAGATGGGCTAGAACTATTTTTCGGGGTAGGTTAACTTTTAGTTTAAACTGCACATGGCAATATTGCTGACCAATTCTTTGGCAACATTCAGTCGTAAAACAAGGTAAGGAATGTAAATAAGACTCAAGAGTTAGAGCAGCTTATCACTGTTGAGAAAATAAGTGGAAAACAAATTGGAAGTTGAAGCTGTGAACATCAATTAAACATTGGTTGCAATATGATTGTGAATGTGCGATTATAGGCGTAAAGTGGGTTGAGTAATTTTGCATCCCTACTGGTGATGCATGTTTATATGTCAGATATAGCACGTGATTAGCAATTTTTACATTACTCGGTAAATTGTTGTGTGCATTGGACTCACCATGTTGCATTTATCTCGAGGCAGGTCATGTACATTATATGCACACTGTGTTTTAAGGTCCCCTGAAAATGCAGCTGGTGCTATTGAATCTGGAGCCGGAGACCTTTCCATTCAAGCCATGCAAAGGTTAGCAGAATCAGACCAACTGCAAAGGAACTCTTGTTTCGTGCAAAAGTTAAAGTCATTCTTTAACTTGGCTTTCCATAAACTTTTTACTATTGAGGCCATTTCTGAGATTATGTTTTATAGAACACTTCTGCTCGGAAATGGCATTGAAGCACTCCTCGAAAAGGCCAAGGGAAGTCACAAGAGCTGCAAAAATGCTGCCACTGATGCTCTCAGGGATCTAGGACTCGATGATTACGACTTATAATTGTTAAGAATATATGGTTATTTTATTTTATTGTTTATTAAGAGTGAATAGTCCTTTCAATTTCCTTTATTTAGCCTATATATAGTCCATTTGTTTCTAGATTAAATCATTTTTTTGTATTCAATTACATTATGCAGTATTAATGAAACTCTAGCCTCCTTTTCCTTTTCTTTATTTCTTTGGATTGTTTAACATGGTATCAGAGCTGTTTCGATTCTAAACAAATTAACTTTTGAATTTCGTTTCCGACGAGCGGCCTAGAGCAGCTCGTCCGGCTACCAATGTTGTTCTTTTAGAAATTGAAAAGCCAAACAACACGATATTTTTGCCGCCTCTATTGCGCACCTCATAAATAGGGTTTCTTCCTTTTTGATTTTTCAATAGACCCATCACTCAAAATATTCTTTTCTCCTCCTTTTTCCTGCGCCGCCGACGCAGGGGCACCACCATTACGATTGCCAATGACTTTGCTGGAAGTGATTACCAAAGCTTCATCCGCTTACCCGAACTACCCCGACCCAGATTCCAACTACCCGATTGTGTTCAACCCAGTCCATATTATCCTCAAACTAAAGCCTAAAACTGATGAACTGAAAGAGGAATACCTTGTTAAATGGGTTACTGGATGGGAAATATCGCAAACGGATGCAGAAATAATCGAAGCAGGGCAAAATTTTTTTTTTTTTCAAGAAGGTGAAAAGAAAGTTGAAGAACACACGCACATTTAGAAAAGAAGAATTCGTGGGAATGTTCACTTCTTACTTGGAGAAAAATGGGGAGAAAGTTGGGATTTGTGTAGGTGTTGATAAGTCAGAAGAAGGGTATGCTCGCAAGTTGGTTGAGAAGTTAGGGTTTTCAATGGGTAGGGAAGTGAAGAGCTTGATTTTGGAGGCCTGTGTTGCTTTGGAGGTTTGGGATGCTTTGGAGAGTTTGATAACTAATAGGCTTGTTGAAAATTTATGTACATCCAATCTGGTTCACAATTTGATTGAAAAACGGAGGTCAGATTTAGTTGTTTTATGTGTTAAGCATTTATCTGATCTTCAGACATATGATTTAATGTGCATTTTGAAGTATTTTTTTAATGCTGTCCTGGGATAGATATAAGAGTGTGTGAGGAAGGAGTGGGAGAACCAAGCATTGTTAGCCATAGAGAAGGTGAGTGATAGGGGCCTTGTTGGGAAACAAAAGTGCTTGACGAGGAAGGCCTCATTTTTGCTCATGATGGCGCATGATGAATTCACTGTGTCAGAATTGTGCTTACATTATTTGCTCGCATCTCGGAATCTTGATGAGGTGATATTTTCAGCTTGTGTTAGTAAGTTGAATGGTGAGGAGATGATGGCCTTGATTAAGTACTTGAGAAAGTAGCTGAGGAAATATGATAGATTCCCTCAAGTGGTTCCTTGTCCTAAGGCATCATATTTGTTGGGGTTGAAGGAATGCGATTGGGTTCCTACTCTTGAAAACATTGCGAAATGTCTTGGATTGGTTGTGGACGAGCATTTCTCTTCTTTGGTTTTGCATTCTGAGTTTCATGACAAGTTGAGATCTTTAGAAGAATTGGTAAGTTCCTTAGCTACTGAAGCTTTGAGATCATTTAAAAGTGGCATGACTCCAATTTTGGTAGCGACGGATGTAGCGGCACGTGGTCTAGATATTCCTCATGTTGCACATGTCGTTAACTTTGATCTTCCGAACGACATTGATGATTATGTCCACCGAATAGGATGCACTGGCCGTGAATTGGCTTGAGTTATGAATGGTGAAATTGTTTGGGTAATAGTGGGCTTGAGTTTAATTTGGGCCAATAGTTTTAGTATTGGCAGTGGGCTATTTGTTTTGTGTTGATGTTGGGCTTATG